AATCTAATAATCTAACAATAATAATCTAAGAAGCTAATAACCTAATAATGTAATATTCAAATAATCTAATCATCATAATAATCTAATAATCCTAATAAATCTTTAAGAATGCTAATGAATCTTAAGTAACAAATGGAGAAATGTCTATCTAGTCAACTAAACAGAAGAATGAACAATCCTAAAAACTTAAAAATCAATCTATCTAGATTTCTATCCAGACCATTTGACAGATAATTCTTGTTAGCCCTGGACAAGTGGCAGGCTTAATTTGGTCTTTTCTTCTTGGGGAGTGTCCCTGTTTTAGAATACAGGTGTCTGCTAGGGAGGGCAGGAGCCTCCCTTGCAATGAACAAATATAGCCCCCTTCCCTTCGAATTATTTTAATTCTGAAATCAAGGAGCCTTCAGGCAGAGATCTGGGGATAGGAATAACAGTTCTTTACTAGTATAACCAGGCAAACAACAATAACTACAGCATTAGCAAGAAAACAGAACCAGGGACCCCGGGACAGCTTTCTCGGCTGAGATGGGAAGGGATGGAGGAGAGGCTTTGTTTCACAAACCCCTCGGGCGGGCAGTGCCGGTGCTCCTGCAGGGCTCTGAGGAACAGTCGGCTGGAACAGCAGGGATGAGCAGAGATCCTGGGCTGGTGGCTGAGATGTATCAGGACCTCCGTGGTGGTGCCTGGCACTGCCACACGTCCCGGCAGGACAGGGGGGTGCGAGGCCACCAACAAAGAGGGAAGAAGGAGAAGAAGCAGCAGCTCCATCTGGGTGATGGCGAAATTCCCTTCTCCCCACCGCAGCAGCTCTGCACCCAAAGTTTCCTTCTCCGAAGCTGAAGAAAGCCCTCCAAACTGTCCCCACCCTCCTTTTTCCTGCCCCCTTCCCCCTCTGGGCCTGGCCAAACTCTTTTGTCACCCACCAAGTACCCACAGTTAGGTTGTCCTTGCAACTAATGGGTAAAAATTCCATGGGCAAGCTAGAACTAAAAAATAGGACACCTAACCCCCAACAAAGAGGTATCACTGGCTGAAAGGGACTAGGCCTGTAGGGTTAGGTGGAAGGTCCAAGTGCCCTTTTCGTCACCCTGTCTCCAAAGGGCCAGGAGACAGGATGACAGATACTGCTTTTATATTTAAAAACAAAAAGGGGGGAATGTTTGAGAGGTTTTTGTGCCATGCTCTTCATTGCTTTCTGGCTGGAAATGCAATTGCACTTTCTGCCTCATCCACAAGTCCATGGCTGGGGAAAACCTGGCCAATGGCCATATTCCAAAGGCAGGGTAGGCTGGAGTTGATAAAGGAAGGAGACTGTTCCCAATTCCAAACCATACCAGAACACCCACAGGAGGGACATTTAAGAAAGAATTCAGAAGTGAATGTAGAGCCATATTCCATGGGAGACAAGGAAAGGAATCTTGCAAGTGGCTTGCGGGTTTCTAGGATTTTTATTGCGAGTCTGCTGCTAGCTGGCATTGGAGAAAGTAATCCTGAAGTGTTCCTGGTCATGTCCTCAGCTTCCTCAATTGCTTTGCTGCGAGTGTCCTACGTTTTCATTTGAAAAGCACTCGGAGTGGAGATTTTTGTGGCAGGGGCCATGTGACCTGTAGAAAGAAGAGGGGAAGTAAAACCAGCTCTCCCACAGCTCCAGCCTGGCTCTGCCAGGTGGCTTCCTGGGGGACCTCCCTGCTTCTGAGAGACAGCTCTGGCCTTCCCATTCTTTTCAGGCCAGCAACAGCATTCGTGCCTTCCTCACATCTGCACCCTGGCAGCCTCTCACCTGAGAGGCCCTGTCCCTCATGGCACAAAGGTCTCTCCAGCACTGTTGACCAAGGACCAGTTAAGAGACAATCCCAGACAGACAGACAGACAGACAGACAGACAGTGTCCAGAGAAGCAGTGCCCTGAAGGAGCCCAGAGGGGTCCAAAACAACACACAAACTCTCTTTTCATACCTTTTGACTCTTGACTGGCCCTGCTTCATACGTCTTCTTGTTCAGCTTGCAAGGTGCCAACTTCCTGCTCCATCTCTCCTGCTCCCTCTCTACATCTGCCAGGAAGTTTTCTCCTTGCAGCAGCAGCTGCTCCTGCACCTCCACATGCTGACATTCCATCTCACAGGCCTGGTGGGGGGAGGAAGACACTTGCAGATGAAGTCCCAGACAAGCTCCCCAAAGAAAGAGTGGAAGCTTGGAAGCTTCATGCCCCACACAACACCCCACCAGCTGAAAAGGGCACATTAATAGTGACTTTGTGCTCTCCAGCACCTGTGTCCTTACCAGAAATTTAGAAGGAGGATCAGCAGATGGGAGAAAAGGAGATGCCACCTTCCTTTCCTGCTCTGATGGCTGCCTGTTTCCTGGCCCCTGGCTCCTCAGGATTTCTGCCTGGTCTCAGAGGCTCTGTTCTCCAAGTGCTCAGGTGGTCCTCGTCATCCCCTCTGCTTCCTGCATTACTTTGCTGCCGGGATGACAGCCATGGGGTTGTCAGAAGAGGCTGGAGAGAGGCTCAGCTAATCTGAGAAATGGATGCTGCCCAGAGGGAAAAAGAAACAAAAGAAACCAAATGAAAAAAGGCAAAGGAAAGAGGAACCATTGTTTTCCCAACTGAGCTTCTAACAGGGTTGTGAGAAATTAAGTGGAGATTTGTGTCAATCTAATGGTGACACTCACCCATGTCTGTGTGTCTGCGAGCAATACAGACAGAGACCATAGGATTATTACTAAGAAGTGGTTTGAAAATCAGCTAAAATAAAGCATGGAAGTAAAGTTGAACAAAATAATTATATAACAATCAGCTTTTAGATAACAGCTTGTTCTAACAACCAAATATTAAACTTTAAACTACCTTGTATCTTTGTATAAACTAGTTTGAAGGAAAACTTGTAATCACTTAAAAAAAATCACTTAAAAAAGGGAAGTAAGACCAACGGGAGCTAAAAAGCTCTAGAAAAGCATTTTGAAACATGCCTTGAAACATTTTGAGTTTTGTAATAACTAAAGAAAGAGCCTATGAAGCTATTTTTAGAGAAGTTAGCTTTGAGTTGGAAAATGATTGAAAGAAAGCTTGCAAACTATATGCTGACTAACAAAATATACGCTTAGTTAAACAAACTGCTAATAGAAAACAATATTTTAAGAGAAAGATGAGAGACTACGGAGACAGCAGAAGACCGTCTCAGACCAGCTCCCCAACAGATGTTCAAGAACCACAACCACTGATTAGGAGGGAAAAACAAGTAGAAAGTAAGTGA